ACTACCAGCAATAACCTTTCTTGGGAAAACCACGTGACATCAATTGCTAAAAGTGCATCCAAAAACTTGGTTTTCTGTTTCGGACCAGGAGCTATTTCACTTCCAGTCAGCTGATTATGATCTATAAGGCACACATCCGACTTGTCCTGGAATAATGTTCATATATTTGGAGTGTAGCACCCAAACATACCCTGAAACTGTTGGATTCTGTCCAAATAAGGGCAATTTGTCTCGTGGGTGATGCCTCGCTCACAAACTCACTCACTTCTCTGGAACACCGTTGAAAAGTTGGCGATTTGGTTCTATTTTATAGATATTTTCATGGACGATGCTCTTCTGAAATTTCAATAATTGTTCCTCCCTTGGCAGACCCGGCGGGATTAACCCGTCGAGTTGAGGTGTCGCACCCCTTCGTGGTAACTTTGAAGACCGGCAGAACATCTCTTTCCAAAGACTCATTCATCCATCGAACAGCGAGGCTCTGGATCACATTGCGTGTTCCCCGAAATTTAAGAAAAACACCAATTCCTACCTCATTTCCCTTGGTTCTCACGATGATCTCTGAACATTACAGGATATCCCTTTTCGTGGGAACCAGAACATCAAAAAAGTATGTCATACAATTTTGTAGAAATCTTATCGTTTGTGAAGTTTTTACATTTACACAAGTCATGTTATGTTATGTACACTACAAATTTGCATTTTGAGAAATGTGATTACAATTTTTGAACATTTCATACTTGCTCAAATCATAATCAGTTATTCGAGCAGGATAAAAGAAATCGGAAAGAAAACAAATGTTGCACAAAAAGGTTTTTCAGATATTATCAATTGAGTTCTTTCAGAAAAAGCTTCTTTAATTGTAAAAACATATCTGTTGTCTTTACTTGCACGTGTTCTATAATAATACTAATATTTAGCCTATCGTGAATTCAAGACACCATAATATCAAGATCATAAAGTTATATGATCTTTAATAGAAACGCAAGTTAAGCACACCATTCCTGTATGCAATCATCTCAGGATAGCCAGCAATGTATCATAAAAAGACAGTTCGTTTATTTAATTATGTACATACAAACTTGATTACTAACCACCAACAGTTATCAAGCAGTGTTGCCTCATAGCCTAACCTAAAAGCAATATGAGTGTCAATTCTGTAAAGGAACCAGGACGTCATAAGGTTTGATTGTTGTAAGCTGCAAATGGTGTCTTCAACTAGTTTCTCAATGATCAAATTGTTCTACACTCACCGGCAAAAAAAATAAAAGAATTGCCCAAATTGATCACCCTATAACTTCTTTAATACCTGTCCGATTTTGTGAAATTTCGATCAGATCATGTCCCTTCATGTTCTGGAATGTTAGAGTTTCAATGAAAAGCTGATGACTTGATCATTATACAGGGAAAAACCAAAGTTACTCTTTCGCCCTTTACTTCTTAACGCCCTGTGGAAATTGAGTGGTTGAACTTGGCTCCATAATGTTGTGTGTGTGATCCTTTCTTGACACGATAGTTTTTGATTCACGTCATGATCTTATTTTTGAGAGAATATATGAGTGTTTTGAAAAAGTATGTAATTTTCAAATTCTTGTTAACAATAATGAGAACCTATTAGTTATTGATTAACAACTGAAGAAATTAATATAACTCATTTCTACCCCATTTGTTTATAACTCACCAGAAAAAAAACTCAATTTCAATAAACAAACAGCAGACCTGTAGTCAATAACGACTATGCCCTCCTCGAGTTTGAATTTTGGCACGGCGGTTGACGTGGCATCGAGTTGATCAAATTTCTCAAGTGGTCATGAAGAATTGCCGAGAAAATTGCCTAATTTTTTCCTGAAGGGCGAATTATAGCTCTTGAAGAGTCTCTGACAAGGCCGGACGAAGACGATTGAGCCTTTGGAGCTCATCCCTAAGATTCTCCATTGGTTCAGAATTCCATACCATGCTGAAACACTTCTCTTGAAAATATGATATTGACGTGAATCTAGAACTATTGAAATCCCCAAGCGGGGATTTCGGGATTTACTGGAGTGTTAAGAAGGGACGAAATAGGATCACACCTCAATTCATAACATGATGAAGGTTGAAGAATGGTTCTGAATTTTTGTTAATAAAGATCGAAATATCCATACTATCTTAAAACCTTTGTATCTTCTCTTAAAAAGTCGTTATCAACGTGAATCAAGAACTATTGTGTTAAGAAGGGATCATACTTCAATCCAAAACATACAAGTTTAACCACTCGCCTTTCCCACAGGGTGTTTAGAAGTTGAGGGTGAAAGAGAATCTTTTGTTTTTCCCTGTGTAATGATTAAAGGTGAGTTCCCAATGCATCGTTTTTGCTTTTCGCGTCACGCGTCACGCACTCTGATTGGTGACGCGTAATTCGGAATTGCTGTACCGCTTTTTTGATTATTGTTTAGTTCCCAATGAATGATGTTTAGCTATGTCGTTATTGTCAGGAAAATGTCAAAGTAGATGAAAATAATCTAATAAAATGGAAGCAAGAAACAAAAATAGATTGAGAAAATTGCTGCTATTAGCTTATCTACTGAGAAGACGAAGAAGACAGGGAAAAATAAGATCATGCTGGGTCAGACCTACCATTACAGTTGATGATTTCAGTGCACATTCCACAGTGATACTGTAATTATTTAACAATCATTAGACCATTCTCAACAATAAGAATGAACTTACACTTAGAACGACCTCATTATCCATAGTTCATACCTGTATTTACTTCAATAATTTGAAACTATTGAAAGTTTTTCAAGACATAACCTCAATTCAACCGCAAACAACAGCCCAAAATCGAATATAAATGACATATCACCTAGCAGCAACGCCAGAAAGTTGAAATATTTTAACTTCATCGCTTCAAATTATACTCGAATTCCGCTTCACCAATCAGAATGCGTGACGCGTGACGCGAAAAGCAAAAACGATGCATTGGGAACTCACCTTAAGACATCGGCTTCTCTAAGGTACTAATATTCAGGCCAACATTCTGAAACAAAATCGGACAAGAATTAAAAAAGTTACAGGGCGAACAACTTGATTTTTCGGGTGGCCGGTTTTTTTTGCCGGTGAGTGTATATTATATTATCATTCTATATTACCAACTGTCAACTGTAGCGATATTTTTGATCACAGTAATTACATGATAAAAAATTGCGAATAGCTGGTCGATATTTGAAAGTGTTGTTCATAGTGTCGACTTTTGTAAAACCGTATCTATTCATCGGGGCGGCCCTGCATATATAGGTATGTACATTTGCTATCCATCGGGGCGTGATGCACGCTTGGTTGTATTCCACTCCTATTGAGATTAATAGCTATTTATTTATCGAGGGAGCAAAGATATCCGTTTTTTTTATCGCTTGGAGCGCACGAAAGGAAATCCCTATAATGTTCAAAGGACATCGTGCGTTCCTAGGGAGGATAGGGACAGGAGGTAGGTATTGGAATTTTTTTGAACTCTTGGAGATTATATGTTGTTGGGAATACTTCCACAGGCAATGAATTCCAGAGCCTAGCCGTTCTATGGATGAAGGAGTCTTGATAAAGTGCTGTTCTCCCGCGTGTGAAGTTTGGTGCCCCACACATGGAAGGGAATGAACCTTTGTTCCCAAGATATATATATGATTTTTTCCACAACTAGCTATAAAACCTACCATTATTTACTTCTTTTCAAGGCGTGAAGTGTGTTTTTACTACCAAGGTAGTTTTCGTCATTTATTTATGAACCAGTAGCCACCTCTGTCATAACTAACCCGAATTCACTGTTCCTATGCGACAGTAACAATAGGTTCATATTTCAGTGTCACAGAACTAAAATTACCTCCCGTGGGAGGTGAAATAAATTCACTTCAGCTTTCTTCCTTGATAGAGATAGGTATACGTGTGAGATCTGTGCTACCCAAGTACCTGATCAGTGTCCCCATCACTACTATAAAACAAATAACAATTTCATTTATGAACTCCAATGATCTCAAACACTTCCTCATATTCCAAACTTACTCAATCGAAACTTTAAAAATAAAATGCAATAAACAAATTCATTGTTACATAAGTGTTAACTTTCAAATTGATTTTCGTTCAGATTCAAATACCTTAGATGATGTAACACATTGATTTGGATCGAGACTCAAGAGATAGACCACTTGAAGCACAATTTTAAGAACGCCGCTCTCAGATATATGCGTTCGTGAATTAAAGATATACACCAAGGTAGTGAAGAACATCATTATTACCCAGAGATCAAGATTATATCCTGAGGCTTCAGGGTACCTGAAATCGATCTGAAATAAAATTATCTATGTATCACGGGAATTAATGAGCCGTAATAACCTCAGGCAATTGCTGTCCCTCGGGCCAGAGGCCCTCGGTAATCAAGGCCCTTATAATTACTTCAATACATAAATAACTATTTTCAAACGTAAATTATCAAGTGGCAGCACGTTGAGCCAACCGTCTACGTTCCATTCCTGCGGACCGGAGTCTTTGCGAGGGATAACTTTTTTTTATTAATTTTGTTCTCAAGTTATTTTCTGATTATATTTTCTACGAAGAAAGTGGTCTCTTTTGTTCCCTCAAGTAATTTTTCGAAAAATATATTTTCTATGTAGAAAGTTCATTTAGGCCGAGTTAGGTTAGATTGTTTAGAATTTAGAAGAAGTAGTCCCTTTACTTATGCAGAAAGAATATTATTTACCTTCTTATGTAGTTCTTTTAGGTGACTATTGCATCACAACCATGATGCATTACGCACCGATAAATAGCAACTGTGCCTAAGCGACGGGGAGGCCCGATAAATATACACGCGAAATAGCAAATATGCCTACACGTTGAAGCGCCCCGATGAATAGATATGGCTCTTTTGTAATCGGACAGTTACAGTTAGAAATGCTACCGATAAACCACTCCTGTATGGAATTGATTCTCTGAGGTTTTGAATTGGTTTGGTGATGAACAATTTGAATTTTCAGGTTAGATGTAAATGAACTGCCTGCATGGCGTCCCGTCGAAAACACCGACTACGAATACTCGACGACATCAGGCTATAACCACAATACATACCACGGACCAACAAAGCATTGTCGCCCGATGCTTACTGGATCACAACTGATAAATGTACAAAACGAAGAGATGAAGCCGCTAAGATTCACTGACTCACCCCAGCATCATCCTCCAAATCCCTCACCTAGAAGAAAATCCAGCTCAACAAGTAATGACGGTTCAGAACTCTATGGACCTTACGAACGAAGTGCCACAATATACATTCCCGGAGATTACCACCGTTGCCAGATCGACACTGGACATTGTGTGGGTTGTGTCAAACAGGATCCCACTTATGCCTACGGACAGTATCCAGACGCCACCTATCCAGGGTATAGTTCGGAGTATAGCGGTTCAACGACATTGTACGGTTATGGAACCGACTACGCTTATGATAACCCTAGCAGTATTAGTAGTCATAGTGGTTCGAGGACGCCTCAAAGGTTGCCTCTCAAAACCCACAAGCGGACACCTTCGAATGTTTCCAATGCCAGCTCGACCACGACGAGTGGTAGTAATGTAAACCCTAGTTTCCGGCTAGAAGAAGATTACCCTCATACACATTACTTACCTAGGCGACCACAATACGAATACGACTACAACAATTCTACATATTCGAGGCAAAACTCGCACGATTCCAATTTCGAAAGGCCCACAACTCTGGAAACTTCAGGTTACACGAAGTTGCGCTCTAGTCTCAAACGAAGTAATTATCAAGCGACACAAGGTCATTCCGGGGGCAACACGCCCACGAACCCCACTCCACCAGATAGCCTTACTAGCGATGACAGCTCTTATGTGTCTGCTAAGGAGAGCAACAGCAGCGTAAGTAGGGTTAGGTTTTCGCCGACCACCCTGATAGACTTGCCGGTTCCCGGGCAGCACCAAGATCCGACGATTCCTTTGCAAGCTAGGAGAACGAGGCAAAGGCCGTCATTGGCCGAAATCGAGAAGGACTTGTTGTCATAACCTTCATTGATTGTGTTAAGTAAGTATATGTAGGTATTTGAAGGCAATTTATTTTACTGAAGTGTCCTATTAGTGGGCATGGAAAGTATGAAAAGCAATATTTCATTTTCTTTTATCGTGATTGCATAATGTGGTGGAAGATAAATATTTCAAGGCATGAATTGAACCCAAATTTCAGTGTCGTGAAATTTGTCCAGAACATTTGTGGCGTCCAGTAGTATGTGTTCCGTTTTTTTTTTATATTTTTTCATTTTTTAATGGATAACATTCCCTTGTTCCTCATGAATTATATATTATTTATTTTTAGTGGTTTATACTTTATAACTTTCATAATGAAACACCAGAATAAAATCTCTTCATGTTATGTGATAACGATAAATTGATTAATACTAGTCTAATTTTTCATATATTTAGTTGGAATGGATTTTGTCATTGTATTATTGGTTTTTAACATATTTTTTTTACTAATTCATGTGTATTGTAAGTCTTGGTTCATAGAGAGGTTTTGATTTTAAACGAGTAACCTCTTTTCGCATTTATGACTTGAAAGTAACTTATAAACCATGTGGCCTTCTTTTAATCATCATTTAAATCTACTTTTAGTAAGGACAAATCACATGATTTGCCCCAAAATGTCACTGCTCTCATAAAATCATTATATGAACTATAAAACGGGCATTTAATAGTCAGTATAACCTCATTAAATAATAATAGAATATAAAATCTTTGTTTGTTATCTGCTCCAGTTTCCAATAAAAAAATGGATATGTCTCAAATTATCTTTGGCTTTTTCTTGAAAGAAATAATACTGATATTTTCATTTATAATGACGAGAAAATCACAAAAAAAAGAGAAATTAATAAAAAATTCCCACTTTTTGATTAACCTACACAATGAAATATAATTCAGGCTAATAGAATGAGAGCTAACATTATTTATTTTCCACCAGATCGCGCCACTGAGACATGAGGTCAGAGTTGGTGAAACTGATAGGTATACTTTTTCTCTTCTTCTCTGTTGATGTAAGAATTGCGCGTCAAGTTACACATTGGGAGTAGATATAAACGCGAGTTTGCTTAAGTCTTACAATAACTTGAGTTTTTCTATTTGTTTACATAGGCCACATCAATATTCCAGAATATTTTCCATAAAACAGGCCACAGCCTCCAAGGCTGGCTATGCCTCAGAATTCTAGTACTTTGACATCGACCTCAAGGTCTAGTAACGCCATCTGGCTGGACTGAAACCTATTATTTGAGACAAAGTTTCTTATAAAATAAGTAATTTGATATTTTATTCCAGGCCACTGGTTTGTAGTTTCTATTAGAATATGCTCAATTTTCCTTATCATTTTTTGTCGAAACTTGCAACTGAATTGTAAAATATACAATCCATAGTGCCTGTGCGATTGTGTGCAGCTTATGTACAAGTGATATTATAACTTTAAAATAGTCATTAACGTGCAATTTTATAATGCATGATTCTAGAAAGCTCATAATTTTATCGAATTTTATTTTTATTTACCCCAAACTTCATCATAATTTCAGTAAATGTGGACTCCGGGTTCTTCCTCTCCATGTATAAAATTCAATGTATTCAGTGATCAAAATAATTCTCCATTAGCTTGCTCATTTATTATCTAGAATACTAGATCATACTGAATGGTATATTGACTGACATGGTATGATAAGATAATTCCCCATGCACAGGTATCCGATATTTGTTTATAAAATTACATAGCAATTACATTTCCAAAAGTGTAACATACAATAATACATTTCTGATGGCAAACTTTTCATCATTTTTTGGTAAATTATTCCACTTTATAGAACTGGGTCAATTGAAATTGGATTGATTTATATTTAGAGTAGTTCTAGTGAATATTGAATAATACATTCAGAGTAATTGCAATGTGAAGTCTGTATCTTCTAATAGTTATTTATGCAACAAGTGCAAAAAGTGAATGTTTATTGCACTCGACGTGAAATTGTCCGACGAGGCCGTGAGGCCGAGTTGGACAATGATACAGTTGAACAATGATACAATAATTCGGAGTCCTAACAAAATTTAATGGGGAAATAATAAAAGGAGTATTGTTTGATACTGTCATGTTGATAGTTTTAAACTGAAATTATATTTTTATTATTCTAGTCACTTTGTATACTCTCTTCTGAATTGGCAATTTCAATAATTTTTACCTTACTTGATTGCTTTCATTTTGATGATCCATAGCGTTGTTCACCAACAGTCATTTTGAAAAAACCCTGTAGTATTTATTAGCAGGATAGGATTGGTTTACAACATACATTTTTACATTATGAAAAATATACTGTACATTCCACACGTTTTTTACCATTTCATCATCAATTAACCATCCCAATGTACTTAAATATGGTGGCTACTATTCCTTTCATAATAATATCCAATTCTCTGGGATATTTTTGGAAATATATTATTCATGTATGACCCACCCAAATATCTTAAAGATTTTTCTGTACTGGGTCTTTCAGAGCTGTGGTGACAAAAGCCTAGGATAGATTCCTCTCAACAAGTTATGAAACAAAGTTCATATGAAATGCTTCGTTTCCGAGTAACAGGGTGTCGAAATTTAAAAAAAGTGAGTGAATAACCTCTCTAAAATGTATAGAATTTTCAAATGTTGTGAGAAATTTTTATATTGATGACTTCTTTTTTCAAGTTATATCCCTATATCTCGGGAACGAAGCATTTTCGGACCTATGTTCATATGAACTTTTTTCCATATTTTTAGAGAGGAATCTCCCCTAAATTTTGTCACCACTTCTCTGAAACACCCTGTATAGGTGATTGTGGCCATGATGTACTTTTAATTATAACAAGGTTCAGTATTTAGATATGGAATATATTGTAATTTGTAAATATCTTATACATAATAGTAAAATTTCTGTGGCTTCCACAATATTATATCCAGTAAGATGTATTTATTTAATTATTGTATAAACATTCCAAAGTATCTTTATAACAAAAATTACTTAATACTCATATTGTGTGACTATTCAAATTAGAATTTTTTAAAGAATGATGTGTTTCAATTTAATAAATTATAGGGCGGAGGCTGAATGTCGATCAAAACTAGTGTAATTGTTCATTTTTTATTAACCAAAATGTACAATGTTGATTAGGTACTGAAAAAAAATATCAGTACGATTATGATTGATTATCTACACATTCGAAAACTAGTATGAAGAAAATTGGATATCACATACAATTTTGCTGACATCTCATAGTATAAATCTGTTAGATTTGAAATATTTTAATAAAACCATCATATTTCTAGTTACTCTCAATCATCAAGCCGACCACAGGAATTGAATTCCTTATTCTATAAGGCAAATCACAAGATTTTTAGGAAAATTATAACCTATCAGCAATCATCAATCATAAAAAAATATTTTCATATTTTCTACAATAGGAATGCCCTCGAGAGGCTTGATTTTGATTTTGAAATACCCTGTATATATACACACTGGCAGAATTAGGGGAACGGGCAAAATTTACACCAAGTTTGACATCAATTTTCTCTCCAACCAATCGCTCGATTTTAATTTTTTTTCCACGAATTGTAGGTTGATTCTTCACGAATACATCTGAGAAATAACCACCTCAAACGATTCGTCTTTATATCATATACAGGGGTGTAAACAAAGTACGAATTTTTCTGTATTTTTCAAGACATTCTGTGGAGTGAACCATTGATGATTGAAATGGTTTCTCAACATCAAATTGTAGCCCAATCTATTCCATCACCCACGCATATTCATTAGAGTATTCGTATATGTGTGTTCAAACAGTAAAAATCCTCACAGAAACAAGTTGAAAAACGACACGTTTTTATCCCCAGTTCGAGTTTCGAGGTGGGAAAAATTAATACCAATATCCACCTTTCCTTTGAAACTCTGTATTTTCTTGAATAATTGAGATATCAAAATGAATAATGAACGAGAATATTCGGAATAGATTGGACTACAATTTGATGTTGAGAAACCGTTTCAATTATCATTGGTGCACTCCACAGGATGTCTTGAAAAATACCGAAAAATTCGTAATTTCGTAATTATATGATATAAAGACGAATCGTTTGGATGTGGTTATTTCTCAGATATATTCGTGAAAAATAAAGCCACAATTTGTGAGAAAAAAAATTCAATCGAGCGATCGGTTCGAGAGAAAACTGATGTCAAACTTAGTGTAAATTTTGCCCGTTCCCCTAATTGTGCCAGTGTGTGTATAAAAAGTGAAACACTTGTAACTTAATTTGTTCATGGAATCAAACAACCAAATTCACGTGATAAACAGGGTGGCCCACATTCCGTTGTCCCTCTCTTGCTATATGTGAAACAGTTAGAGATGGAAAGTTGGTTAAATAGAACACAAGTTGTACATTTCGGGGGACATGATGATTATGTGAAGAAATCGAAGATATCATGAGCCGTTCCGGAGATAATTGAGAAAAAACAAAATTATCAATTTTCGTTTTCAGGCGGCTCATTTATTTCAGGAAGTAATAAAAAACTTCACAAAAATGTTTTCTTCTATTATGTATGTTTTTCAATCTGGTAATATCAGATTCTCGATACAACATTTCGTTCAGCCAGGGCCACCCTCAATATTTTTTTATAAATACGGACCTGATATGTTTTTCACAAAAATAATTTGGCCTTTCAATTCTGTATACAGACATGTATCACATCCATAGTTCTTGTCTGTGTAGTTTTTCTATTTGCCGAAATGAAAGGGCAAGGGTTCTTAAAAGGAAAATCGTCAATTTTGTTTTTTTTTGCAACAATCTCTGGAACGGTTCATGATATATTTGATTTCTTCACATAATTCTTATGTCCTCTAAAATGTGTAACTTTTATTCCATTTAACCAACTTTTTATCTCTAACCGTTTCAGAGATAGCAATAGTGTAACAACAAAATGTGGGCCACCCTTGTATACACACCTGCACCTTGTATACTT